AATGGAGCAACTGGACGGTTTCAATACTGTGAGTCTGCTTGCCATAATGATTGAACACATGCAGAAGGTTGCCACTTTCAAGGACGGTAATCATGGGCTTCCCTATGGATTCTTGCTTACTCCGGTGTTCAAATTCTTTAAGGTTCCACTAGGAATAGGTAAAGTGGGAACTCGAAAGCAGACATTCTCACAGACAACCTTGGAAGAGTGCGAGTGTGTAGAAAAGTATAGGGGGGTAGGAAGTACATCAACTGTGTCTCATCTCATCAATGCCCAAAACTCTGCAGCTGAGGAAATTCGTCGGTTGAAGGCAAGGAATGCTATCCTGGAAGATCAGCAAGCTCGAGGGGTTCCCATGTCGAATGATGAAGTGGTTCGTTTGACACAGGAAAATGCTGATCTCAGGGCGCAAGTTGAGAACCTGAAAGCTGAACTGCTTAATGAGCAAAAGTCGGGAAACGCTCGAATAGACCTTGTTCTCCAGACACTTGCTGCAGCTACCAAGCCTTTTCCTCCTAGTGCCCCCTAAGAACCCCTTCAGTGACCTGTCTTCTGGATATGTTTCTTCTGTTTTTTTGGTTGATGTTTGGTGGATGTTTTTTTGTTTTCTTTTTGATGGTTAGGATGTACTACTGCTGCTCCTGTTAACAAGTCCAATGTTGCCTCCTCCTTTTTCAAAAGGCAGAGGCATATTAAATCATTATTAATATATCCTTTTTATTATGTCCAGTACTCTCTCTCAGTGTTCTATTCTCTATCATGTTTGTGTGCACATATGTGGCATGAGTTAGCTTAGCTAGACTTCTTTATGCTGTTGTTCTTTTTCATGATGCCAAAAGGGGGAAGAATAACATAGGATAGGACTCAGCGGGAAACACATTGGGGAACTGGTTCTTAAGTTACTGAGTCCTATCATGTAAACCTTTGTTACGACAAGGCATAGTCTCAGGGGGAACTAAGTTTGTCATCATCAAAAAGGGGTAAATTGATAGATCTTAAATACTCTTGCCTTATGTTTTGATGATCTAACAAACTTACTGTTAAGAACTAGATAGGGAACCTGGCCTACTTGGATTGCTGCAAGCTTTAACGGATTCCGGCTAAAGGTGAACTGCTACAGCTTCAGGAGCTAGGAACCAACACAAGGACCTGATGCTCTTGTGGTTTCCTCATAGCAGTACAAAGTCAATTGGACACAGCTGGAAATGAAGTGACTGACGGTACTGTTTCTACTGCACTGCACTGCACTGTCCGCCCACTCATTCTCCAACCAAACAAAGTACTCACATCACTTCAGGTGATGTGATCAAGATGTACCCACAATGAGCTTTATATAAAACATGACTAGAAGGCTTCTGTTTCTCATTCAAGTCTCTTGCAAAAAATAGAAAAATCAATCCTCACAAGCTTGAAGAATAAGGTTGAACACTACTACGGACCAGTTCCTAAAAGATAGATTGTTGTTGTCCTAGTTGAGTTGTAACCTTGTTATTATACTTACTGTATCTCCTAAATTGCTTACCTAGAAGTATTCTGATTAGGAATCCTCTTGTAAATCCGTAAACTCCTTGAGTTTATGTTGTGACTAGATTTAGTCATAAGGAAAAATCTTTGTAATCGTAGAGTTACAGAGTGGCTTGTAGTGATAGCATCACAAGTTAGAAAATGCCTTTGTAACTAGGATGGTCACAAAGTGGCTTGTGGTAAAGGTACCACAAGTTAGTTGAGTAAATCCTTTGCAATAGGAAGTATTATAAAGTGGATTGTAATAGGTAGATTACAAGTTAGTGAAGTTAAAAGCCTACAGGTGCAGGTCGTGGTTTTTTATCCCCTTGTGTGGGATTTTTCCACGTAAAAATCCTCTGCCTCATTTACATACTGTTTTATTAAGTACTCTCAGTAGAACCTTGTAGAGGACCAGGTACTCTACGATTTGGTGGATCCATACAAACTAACACCAACTTATCAACTCCCCCAAACTTAAGCTTTTGTTTGTCCTCAAGCAAATCAAGACTCAGACTTAGGCACCATTTCATTGAAGCCACCAAATATTTAAGCTCACAAGCTAAAGCTAGCACCACAACCAAGCAAAGAAGAATTCAAGCAGAAAAACTCATAACTTTAGTTGGTACCACAACTATATTCAAATGCATGACCCCTCAACCACATCCATAGGATTCAATTTCAAAACAACATGAGTACCAAGCAAGTCAAGAAGATTTTCAATCTATGATCCCAAAGCTTCTAAAGTTATCTTTAAGTCACTAGGCCACTTTCTTTTGTTCATGTGTCTCAATTGAGAAAAGAAACATTAATCATACTGGAGTTTCCATGTGCCCTCACAAATTCAAGAGAGATTCCCATACACGGTACTATATTTTCAAATCAAAGGTGGGATATGAACAAAAGAAATAAGCACTCTCTCTCACAAAAGAAGTTCAAATGTACAAAAGTAGAACCATAGGCTTACCCCTCGCGTAAATCTCTACTAATGTCGGTGTGCCTGGTTCAAAATCACTTAGGACTTGCGGGAATGTATTTTAAGCTTTTGGTTGGAGGTAGGGAATCAATATGGTAAAGAGTGACTACGACCTTCCTAAGCACTACAATCTTGACAATTCAATACATAATTCCTTTCAAAATTTTCACCCTTTTTGCTCTCTTTTTCAACTAGGAGATATGATTGAATTACACCATTAAAGCTCTTTAGTTCGCAAGGCTTTCCTTTTGTGATCACCACCTTTGTCATGAGTCTCTAGTCTTTTCTTTTTATTTCAACTCTTTTTTTTTCAAATTCCTGTCTTTTTCATTTTTTTTGGTTGGTGTTCTTGTTGCTTCACCTTCAAGTAGCTTTCACATCATACTTTTTCGATCTCCTCTCAGCAACTTAGGCGTTTGACCTAGATTGTAATTTCAAGTGCTTAAGAAAGTCGGGGCATCAAAGGAGGATATCATAAGAAGGGAAAAGGGCTTGTAATGTGGTTGAAAATAAAAGGCTAAAGGCTCAAAAGGGTTTCCTACCATAATCTTGTCAAGGGTAGGTAATTAACGGCACAAACGGTCCAAAGAAAGCCTAAACTCATTTTTTAAACCAAGCACAACCTAGAATTTTGCCTCAAAAGACACTTGGGGCAAGTTCTAGACCACAATTGACACAAAAGAACTCAACAACAACCTCACCTCACATGGCTCATGCACACAAAAAGCAGATATATATATTCAAAGCCCAATTGAAACACATGAACTCAAAAAGTTGCCATAGCCTAAAAGCTATATAGTGACATTAAAGCTAACAATGGAACCTAAGAATCATGCCATGAATAATAAACTCAACTACCTCCTGGAATTTTCAAAAGCATGCATTTCATGAAAAGTTGTTTCAAGGCATACATCTAAATAGTGTTGGTACCAAACAAGTCAAAAATTGACTTTGGGACATCGACACTAAAAAAAAAAATCCGGTTCAAGTTGCATCTTTGGGAAAGAACCATGGAAATGAAAACCCAAAGAGGTTATTTTTAATTCCTAGAAAATGTAAAACAAACGATCAATAAAAATAAAAGAAGAGAAAATATTAAAAGGAAAACATAACATCAACTAATGGCATCAAAAAGTGTCAAGCATACCAAAACTCATCAATACCCCTCCCCCATACCTAAAAATTTGCATTGCACTCAAAGAAATTAAAACAAGTATAAGATAGGATAGGGTAAAGAAATACTCCCTCAATCCGAGCGGGGTAGCAGGCTCAACCGTTGTCAACAGTTGATAAAACTGTGGCTAACGGTTGGCAGTGGAGCATAGATGGAGCAAGCTGGAAATTGACACGGTTTAAACCGTGCCCTACAGTTCACTTCACGATTCCCTTGAGCTATTCAGGGTGGCTACAAGGTTCCAACTCCATTTTCCAATATCAAGCTGAGTTGCTTAGCTTGGAATTTACTAAACCATGACTCTACGATTTAAGCGACCGTGCCTCATGATTTAGCTTCACCTGCACTCTCCAAAAACTGGCATCATCTGAAAATTGATACGGTTTAAACCGTGTCCTACGGTTTAGCTCATGATTTGGTCCAATTGTTCCCCTGTTTCTCTATCTTTTCTAAGACAATTTTGCTCAATCTCTTCACTTTAAACCTGCACCCTACACACATCTAATGCCCAAAATACATCAAAGCAAGGGAAGAAAAAGAACATAATACACTACCAATACAAAATCAAAATGCAAGAATAAAAGGAGAAAGAGCTTGGGTTGCCTCCCAAGAAGCGCCTTATTTAACGTCGTAGCACGACACAATACCGAACACAACTCAAGATGCTATTGGGGGTTCCCCCCAATTCAACTTCCGAGACCACTCTTCTTGTATTAATGGGACCCAAATAATGTTGAATCTATTGTCCATTCACTTTAAAGATCCTTTTACCATCGTCGGACTCCAAATCCACGACACCAAATGGGTAAACATGCACAACCTTGAATTGCCCAGACCATTTTGATTTCAACTTGCTCGGGAACAACTTAAACCTTGAATTATAGAGAATAACTAAGTCCCCGGGGTGAAACTCCCTTTTGATGATCGTCTTGCTATGGAGGAACTTCGTTCTTAGCTTATACAAAAAATCACTCTCATATGCTTGAAACTGAAATTCATCCATTGCATTGAGTTGAGACGCTATTAAGTTTGTTGGATCAACCCATTTTGGCTTGAACTTTAGTGGCTTAATGGTAGAAAGTTTGGTTGGAGGAATAACTCGATTTTCCAAGTCAAGGGACATCTTCTCGGGCTTGTAAGAATATGAACCGAGTCCCTCCTTAGCCATCACGGCTTCATTGTACCCTTCCATGGCCTCATTGTTAGAATTGAGGAGAACCGCTTGTAGAGATTCTTCCATGCAAATATCTTCCATGTCATCGTCAAACACATCATCCACCACATCAACTACGGATATCCCACCATAGTCATGCGGTTGTTTCATTCACTTTTTTACATGAAAATTGCCTATTCATCATTCAATCTAAATTTGAGCTCTCCCACTTCAACATCACAAATAGCTCGCCCGGTAGCCAAGAAAGGACTACCAAGGATGATTGAAATTTCTACATCCACTTCACAATCCAATATTACAAAGACGGCGAGAAAATAGAATCGATCCACTTTTACAAGGACATCTTCGATGACACCAAGTGGTTTCTTAAATGTTCGATCTGCCATTAACAACTTCATTATGGTAGGCCTAGAATTCCCCAAACCTAACTTCTTGAATACATCATAGGGAATCAAATTGATACTAGCCCCCAAATCACACAAAGCTTTTGCGAAGCTTGTCAACCCAATAGCACAAGAAATAGTAAAATCCCCCGGGTCTTCCAGATTTTTGAGATAATTGCACTACATTAATGGGTGACCTTGATGGTCTCAAAATTAGCATTCTTCTTCTTAGTGACCAAGTCCTTCATGAATTTAGCATAATCCGACATATTTTCAAGAGCTTCCACAAAAGGCACATTGATGGTGATTTGATTCAACATATCATAGAACTTTTGCAATTGGCCTTCTTGTTGTTGCTTCGCAAATATTTGTTGAAACGGAGGAGGCGGTTTCGGTAATTGCTTGTACAATCTAGGTGCCTCCTTGCTTGCCTCATTGATTGGTTCTTTCTCCTTTGAAGGGACTTCCCTTGCATTTTGAGAGGTGCTTGGTTTTTGGTGCATCTCTTCAACAATAATGCACCGCACACTTGGGAACTTCAATCACCTCGGGCCTCTCATTAACTATGAGAGGTACATCTTGCTTAGGAACTTCATCAACTTTAGAAGGGTCATCAACCTTGGGAAGAGCCACCTTAGGAACTTTGGGAATCTTGACCTTAGGAAAAGCATATTTTAGAGGCAACTCCTCTTCGTCATTATCATCCTCAACTACAATGAATCTCTTTTTTAGAATTTTGCTCCGCCTTGTGGAAATGGAAAACACTCGCTTTATACCCTCATCTCTCTTTGGATTTGGAATTGTGTTACTAGGCAATGATCCTTGTGGTCTCACATTCAATTGAGAAGATATTTGACCCAATTGAGTCTCAATTTGCTTGATTGAAGTGGTATGAGAAGCCACCACTTGATTCATTTCTCGCCTCTCTTTGTCGGATTGCTCTTGATTCTTGAGCATCCTTTCCATCATCCCCGAAAGTTGGTTATCAGTTGAAGAGTCGCCTTGGTTGTTGTATGGAGGAGGTTGGTAGGATCTTTATTGATATTGTTGGGAAGATCCACCACCTCGATTACCGCCACTCCAACCTTGGTTTCCTTGATTGTTATTTCCCCAAGTTACTTGATTGTTATTTCCCCAAGTGCCTTGGTTATTACTTGGCCTCCATTTGTTCTTGGCTAGATCCTTGAAAGTTACCTCGTTGATTTTGATAGTTGCTCAGAAATTGAACTTCCTCATTTTGCTCTTGATAAGAATCATCTTGAGTGTAGCGTCCATTATCTTGTGAGTACATCTCCTCTTGAAGTTGACGTTGATTACCCTTCATATTCTGCTTAGAACCCAAGACATGAACACCTTCCACGAGATGTACTTTCCGAGATGCTTGAGTTTGTTGAAGTTGCGCTTTTGCAAGTTGATTCATGGTGGTGGTCAACTCGGCAATGGCTTGACCATGATCTTGAAACTCCTTGTTGAGGTGAATCATATATTTGGATCCCCTTGAGAAACATTTGCTCAGGATTGCCAAGCGGATGACGTCTCTGGCATCTCATCAAGTATGGCACAAGCCTCCAGGTAAGGTGTGGTCATGAAGTTTTTACCGGCAAGTTGGTTCACTACACATTGATTGGTTGTGTTAATCCCACAGTAGAAGGTTTGTTGCCGCATGTTCTCGTTCATATCGTTGTTAGGACATTCCTTCACCATGGTTCTATAGCGTCCCCAAATTTCATGAAGTGGCTCATTCGGTTCTTGCTTGAATGCCAAGATTTCATCCCTCAATGTATCCATGTGCCCGGGAGAGAAGAATCTGGCAATAAACTTCTCCACCAACTCATCCCAAGTATGGATAGAATGGTTTGGTAAGCGCTCCAACCAATCCAAGGCTTTTCCTCTTAGGGGGAAAGGAAATAACCTCAATTTCAAAGCGTCCTCAGACACAGTTGTTTGGTTACTTCCCCAACAAGCATCCCTTTAAGTGCTTGTATGCATTTTGATGAGGTGCTCCGGTGAAGTAGCCTCTTTGCTCAAGCAAGGCGAGCATGACATTTCTAATTTGTAAATTTCCCACCCTAATGTGAGCGGGGATAATTGCACTTGCATAGCCATCATTTAGTGCGGCATGTTGTTGTGGAGGTGGTGGTGGTGGATGCGACGGAGGTTGGTGTTGGTTTTGACCTCGACCACGCCGGTTTCCTTGAACCGGAGCCACTTCTTCTTCTACCATATCTACATCAATGGCTCCAAGAGTCAAATCACCAAAGTCATTGTTGTTCGCCATTGGTAACCTACAACAAGGACACACGAATCAAAGTATCATGAAAAAAAGATAAGAACTCAAGAAAACACACAATAACAAAGTAACACAAGAACAGCGTATTCTCCGGTAACGGCGCCAAAAATTGGTGACGTCAATCCTACACCTCCAAAGAAAGCGTAGTACGGTCATTAGCAATAATAAACCCAACAAATGTAGGGGTCAAATCCCACAAGGAGTATGTGTGTTAGAGTGTCCGAATGTGTAGTCTTCAAACAAAGAGTGGTTGTTCAATTACTTCTAAAGTTACTTCTAAAATTACTACAAAAACTAGTCTAGGAATTTTATCGAATACTTGGAGTGCGAGTAAAGACGTAGTTGTAACAAATAAGAGAACACTAGGATTGTTTCTCCTTTGTGTAGGCCATGCTTTTGGTTATACAAATGTTCAATTCTAGTTAATTAAGCATGTGTTATGGCCTCGATTTCTATTCCACCAACTTAATGTCTTCCAACACTTAAGAGGTTTTTACCCCAAGTTGCTCTTCCAAGTCAACTAAGACTCAATGATGAACAATTGATTAGCCCAGGTAGCAATCACACTATTCCTAGTTAAATTTCATTAATAAAATGATTAACCCACTTAATTCCTTGCTAATTACCTTGCACCTAAGCTAAGTTCCACTCTTCCAAGTTAGAACAAGCAAAATAGGCATGAATTTAGTGTTTGCAACCACAAAATCAATCAATAATGCATGGAGTAATTAGATAACAGTATAACACAAAGCTTAATCAAATATAGAACTAATATTAATAACCTAAAAACATAACCACACTTAGGGTTCACTATCTAGCTTAAGAAGCTTAGCTAGCCATAATAAAGAAAGAAAATACAAAGATAAATGATAATCTAAACATATTAGCGAAGAGAGTAGAGAAAGATTGAGTAAACTATGATAAAATCACCCAAAACTCTTAAGGGAAACTCCAAAAGCTGCTCTCCCACGTTCAAAAAGATCCCCAGATGCCTAAAAGCTGACCTAAATTGCTATTTATAGTCGTTTGCTATATTTGACAAAAGTGCCCCTCTGATGTCCAGTTGTGGCTTTGTTCGTGGAGATGACGATGTTCGTGGCCTGGTTCATGGGCTGAAATGGCTCCACGATTCAGATCGTGGAGCTGGGCAGAACTTGCACAATTCTTTGCTTCAGATGCCCTTTAAGATCATGTAGTAGTTCGTGGAGACGATCAAGATCGTGGAGTTGGACAGACATTGCTCCAAATTTTCCCGACTAAGAACATTTTTCATGCACTTTTGCACCCCTAGTTTTGGCTCCACAATTGACCTTCATGGAGACATTGTTCTTCCCTTTTCAATCTTCAATTTCTTCAATCCTATGCTCCAAATTCCAACTCTTTTCATCCTTTTTGATCCACTCTTTCATCAACTATATCATTTAATCTTACACACCTGAAATCAACCACATTAATTTAGTTAAAGCTATTAAATCTTACTTAAAGAACCTTAACTCAAGAAAAAGGTATGAATAAGTTAGCAAAATACCAACTTATCATGCATCAAGTAAAGCAAATGCATAGTATGACCTAAAACAAGTTTCCATAACAAAGCAATTTATACACAGTTATTACCCAATAGAGCATGATAAAGTGGAAATGTGGTACGAACACAAAAATCATTCTACGGTTATCGGACATAAAATAAAGAAGCGTGCATGTTGATCAGCATCTTAATAAAGTAGAGTGAGGAGGAGCACTCAAGTCTAGGCTAAATAACGAATAAATAATGTGACATTATTTGAGTACAGAAAATAAAATAATACCTAATAGCTAGTGAGTGAAATAACTACTAAGGAACAATGATTGCCTTGTTAGGAGAATGCACTGGTCATAAGTGCTGAGAGACTTATCCCATGTACGTAAGGAATGTGTTTTAGTTATGAGCTGATATGCTTGTAGCAGGTCCGTCGGTGGCATTGCTTGTGGCGAGCAGTCAGCTGTTGGCAGGGGAAGGTGGTGCGCTGTGCGTGTAGTGTCACAAGGTGCTGCCTGCATGGTGCTTGTTCCGCTGTGCGGACGTTGTGGGCTGTTCATCATCATAACTGACACCAACTTGCTTGGGATTGAGGCATTGTTGTTATTGTAGTACTTGTGGAATATATTGTGTTACTAAAAAGCATTAGACTGGCCCAGATCTTTACCGACTTCCACTCTTTCCGGGAGATCTTTGCACTTCAAAAAATATGCTCAACCAGGTAAGACTGCTGCGTCTAATTCTTCCCCATTAATTGGCTTACATCCTCAAAAATTAAAAATATTCAGCTACAGATGTAACTCCTGCATGACACCAAGGCTCTAAGATTTAATTGAGAATAGTTTCCATACAACTGGATAGAGAAGCACTAACAACTCAGTGGGAAGACAGGAGAAAACTTAGGACATCATCTAACAGGGAATAATTATCAAAATAAGTGCAGCGGGGAATACAAAATATCATACCATGACAAAAGATCTCTGTTGCATGTCAAATATTTGGGAGTGAAGGTGCACATATGTCCATATCACCACTCTGATTTGAAACTACAAGCATTTCCAGAAATCTTGTTCTGCCTGAGACAATAACTTCTCTCTGAAATATAACGAGCTATTACATTGCCTTGTCAGAACAGTAACATCTCCTGAGAAACACAATGATTTCCTCTTTACTAGTCAAAATTCAAGCCCTCTGAAGCTGAGGCAGGTTACGGCCACGCTCCACAAATCGCAACATGAGCTTGTCCGCCTCTTCTACTCTGCCATCTTGCATCAATCTATCCTTCACCTTGTCACAGAGCTTTAAGTCAGGTATCAGATTCCGGTTGAACATTCGACAAGCCACCTTATATGATGAAAGAGGGTTCCTTTCCTTTAAATAGGTCTCCATAAGAATGTGGCAGGTATTTGCATCAACTCTTGAAGCTGTCCTGAGGACATTTCCCAACAGTTTATAAGCCTCATCAGCATATCCGAAACCACAAAGTTTTTCAATAACCTGATTATAAGCAGTCTTACACCCTTGTCTTGAAAGCATCTTCTCCAGTAATTTCACCAGATCATCCACCCTACGTTGCTGACAAAATCGGTGGATGACTGTACGATACGTCACAGCAGTGGGAAGCACGCCCCTATGAAGCATTTTATTGGCTAGATCAATAGCCTCTTCCATTCTTCCTTGTTTTGTCAATCCGTCTATTAGCGTTGTATATGTGACAGCATCAGGGTGTTTGTTAATCAAGTACATGTCATCAAGAACCGAAAGAGCAGCATCCAACTCATTCTTTTGACAGAAACCATGAATTAAAGTGGTGAAATTCACCACATTAACAGCACATCCTTTCTTCAGACATTCTTCCATAAAGTTCTTTGCTTCATCTGCTCTGCCTTCTTGACAAAGGGATCGAATTAGCAGGTTAATTTCAACGGGGGTAGGGAAATAGCCCTTTGCAATCATTTCCCTACCCACATCACAGGCTTCAGACAGTTTCCCTTCCCTACGATAGCCATGCATTAACACGCTAAATGTAATAGCATTCGGTCTCCACCACGACTCCTCACAAATGCTCATCATCTCTCTTGCCTCCGCAGACCTTCCACTCCGGCAAAGCCCATTTAGTAGGGCAGTATATGATACAGTGTTTGGCTTGCAACCGTGCTTGTACATATGTTGAAGTAACTTTTTAGCTTGATCAATTTTCCCTACAAGACAAAACCCATTCAGAACTGCAGTGTAAGTAACCACATCAGGATTACATCCTTTGGCAATCATTTCATTGACCAGTTCCTTTGCCTTATCTATTCTTCCGTCTTTACAGAAGGAGTTTACCACAGCACTGTAACCCACTTTATCCACTTGGAATCCTCTTTCTTCAGCTTCCCTTAAGAATCCCATCGCTTCATCAGCATGACCGTGCTTCGAAAGCATATGTATAATTGTATTATAAGTAACCTGGTCAGGCAATAAGTTACTATCTTTATCCATTTTCTCCACCAACTCTTTCACTTTATCGGTTTGTTTCTGCGTGCAAAAGAATGAAATCAATGTATAATAACTAACTTTATCTGGGTAACAGCCCTTATACGGCATTTCAGCCATCAGCTCTAATGCATCTTCAACTCGATGCACATCACAATAACCTTTGATCAAACAATTGTACGTAACAACATTGGGTGTTAACCGAACTAGTTGCATCCGCTCAAGAAACCTCAATGCTTTCTCAATTTTATTCCCCTTCACCAAAATGTAAATTGCAGTGTTGCATATAGATAAATCAGGCTCAATTCCTGCTCTTTGCATCACATTCAGGATCTGCATTGCTTTCCTTAAATGTCCAGCTCGACTAAAAGAAACCATCACACAACCAAAATCTTCAGGTCTCCTCGAAATTCTTCTACGTGCCATCAGCTTAAGAATTCGCTTAGCTCCCTGACACAACTTTGTCCTACTTAGAAGTTGAAGCATCACATAATAAACAATAGGGTCATGTCGATAACGCCATTGCTGGTCCGCCCAATAAAAGAATTTCAAAGCGACCCTTTCATCGGATTGAGACCTTAACACAGCACAAATTTGCAGGGGCTTCATACTTCTTAGCAAACGCCTCAATTCAATCTCAAGCTTCGGATTCCAACCCGATTGACGTTCAATTAATCTACATGTTTCCTTAACCAAAGGGTGTCTCATTTCATCTTCAACCCCTTCAATTCTTTCAGAAATTCCAACATTCTCCGCCCGATTCACTTGCCTTTGACTTTTACCAAATGAATCCAAAACCTTAAAATCATCATCACTACAGTCCAAACTACCTCCTCCATCTTCGTTTTCTGACTCTTCAAACTCATCCACACTATCAAACCTACAACTACTATCAGTTTCTTTAAAGCTGCAATCTTTTCCATCTTCATCACAAGAATTGTCATGAAAGCTCAAATCTTTACATTCTGTAGAACCCAATTCTTCTTTTACAAAATACCCATCTCCAGTATCATCACAGTGATCATTTTTCAAATACAAATTAGGGTTTATGTTGAGTCTAGGGCTATCACCTCTAGATGAACAAGAAGAAGAAAATGCAATAACTCCATTATAAGCAAATGGGTCTCCACCAAAATCGATTCTTGATTCAAAAGTTGCAATTTTTCCAGAAAATTCAACACAAACACAATGATTACATGAACCAAACCAAAGAATTTTGAAATTTTTTCTTTGCCTGGGCAAGGTTCCTCCAATTCTTGTGCATATATTTAACTTCAGCAACATTTTAATGAATTCAGTGAGATTCTAGAGCAGCTCTATTATGCAATAAGAAGTTTGAAACGAGTTGCAATTGCTTACTAGTGAGTTCTATTGCTATGGACTGGAACCAGTTCTGCGAAAAGTTTGCAGCTTGACAGGAGCCTATCAGGAGCGGATTTGGGGGCGCAATGGGGAACATCCTACCCAATTTTTATCTATATATTAAGTTTTGAATCCTCGAAACGCAACAAAAAAATATAATTTAGTAAGAGGTTCAAAACATTTATAACGTTACATGTTCAATTACCATTAGCTACAAAAAAAATTTTTGAACCCCGTTCGCGGAAACTTAAAAAAAAAAAATATATATATATATATATATATATATAGATATAAAATAATATCGAATAAAATCTGATTTCTACGTCTAGTTTAAACTCTTCTAAACTTGAGGTAAGGCTTCTAGCCAATATTTCTGGATTATTAATAAAAAGTTTCTTTTTTATTTTTATGGTACGGCAAAATTTATAAGGTAAAAAAGGTAAGATTTTTTGGCGTTAAAATCTTATGTTGTAAAATCCTACTCGGTACTCTCTCTCTTATTCTGTAGACCTATATTGTTACAGTTTTATCAAAATTATGAACTGAAATTACCCCTTCTATACTTTTTTTTACTCCACTCTGTTCATCTCTTCCTCCCAACCTTTTAAAGAAATAATCTTTACTTAACTCTTCTTTCTTTAACCTCACCCTGGCCACGGTTAAACGTATATACCCATTTTGGGTTAATTTTGGGTTTGGCTTAACCGGTTTCTCATAGGAATTTATAGGTTAATCCATCAAAATTATTAAGAAATTGGAAAGATAACCATATACTTAGAGTGATGTCTAGTTATTTACAAACTAATAATTGAGGAATAATAAACATAAAACTATACATAATAAACATAAAACTATAAAAAATAGAGGTAATATCCAGAAACATAATTTAGATAAAATAAGTAACTTACATGTTTACAGGAGAGAGATTTTCCTTTCGGGAAACTCGAAAAAGTTTACTGGACTTGGGAATTAAGAACTTGCACACTCAAGCATAAGGATTTATTTATTTTACAAGCTCGAGGTAGAAACTACTAAGGCATACATAAGGAAATACTTTACAAAGGTATAGTACAAGGTGTTGAAGAATGGTGGGTGATGAAAGAGGGTGTTTAGATGGCTTTCTTTAGAGTGTTCTTTCTCTTATACTTGTATCTTTCTCTTCTTCTTTCTTCCCCTTTTTATAGCTAAGTTTTTGAAACGGGTTTGAAAATGGACTTCAAACATTTCCATAAATCTTTCTTGTCTAGCTTTGTAGGGTACTTCATTGGGCCCCATCTTCACATGACTTGGGCAGAGATTCCCTTAGTGTTTGTAACTATTTCTTCCACTCAAAAATTCAGCTTGTCTTGTAGCACTACCTTTTGTCACATCTTCTTTTTTTTTATGTCATTTCTTCTTTTCTTTATGTCGCTTCTTCTTTTTCAATTGTCTCTCGCATTATTGCTCTTGGTTTTCTTTGTCTTTGCTGCTCTCAATTGCTTCTGACTGAGACCTTGCTTCTTTTTACATGTCTAAGTTATGTAGAGCTATTGAATCAAAACTCATTCCTGAATCATCTTCGTATGGATCTTGAGCATCTTGATAATTTAGGTGGTTTTCATCTTCGTAATTATCATCTTCCCCTGAGCTTTGAGACCTTTCTGGACTTGGATTGAGACTGTGTTTGTCTTGTTTTTCTTTATCTTGAAAGAAATTTTTTAATGTCTGTTTAATTATGTTTTCTATTTTCTCTTTTTTTTTTTCTTTTTAGAAATTATACCCTTCTTTTTTAATGCTTCTCCCTGTGTTAGTGTTCTAGGTAGTCTCGTTTTGATGAACCTTCGTCTTCACTTTTTGGCAAAGTGACAGCCATAAACGGATTTGATGTGTCTTTACCGGTCATCGTATGAACCGAACTAGCTGTATCATTATCCGATACAATAGACTTTGCTGCATTCATTGGGGAATGCACACCCTTCTCATCTATTTTTTCTTGAGATGGAGAACTCTGTTTTGGACTACTCATCTCCATGTCTTGTTGAGAAATAACTTGAGTCTGGGATTGTGTCAATTCAAATTTTAATGCATGTACTCTCTGTTCTAGTACCTTCATTTGCTCCGTAAGTCTTGTTTTTTCCTGTGCCAGGATTTTATTCTTCTGATTTATTCGTTTGAAGGCTTCTATCATTGATGAGCAATGATCACAGAATATTATCTTATCATGGTCTTTTTGGATGTTATATTGGGGGATTTTTTCTGGGTTTTGTCTGAGTGCTGGGGAGATATAGTAGTTTGGTCCTAGTATTCCTCTTGCATAGTCTAATGCTTCAGTGAAGTCATTAAAACCTTTGAAAAGCGGTTTTTCTAAATCTTTAATAGAGTCTAGTACTTCTAACCATGTCTGAAAAATACCATTTGTCTTACCATGTATAACTACATAGTATTTAAATTTTTTTTCTTGGTTTTTGTCTGTAAAATATTGTCATAAGGCATTAAGAGCCGCTATAAAATATTTAGTGTCTTTTTTATTATATGTTATCCATAAGTTATCAATTAAACATCTTTGAGGTCTATCTATGACACATTCAGGTAAAACTCTAAATGATATGTTTGATGGTGGAAAGAATATTAAATTATGTTTTCCAAAACTTATCCTATCCATATTACTTTTTTCTGCAAAAGATTGTGGCTTAAAATGAAGATTACCTAATACTGTCTGCAAGTATTTGTCTGAGGGTGAGGCTTGAATGCCCTTTCCCTTGTCTTCAGTCTTGGGAACTGTTGGTCTCATGCTGTACATGTAAAATATTTATTAATTGACAGTAGTTTTAAGCCTACTGTGACGACCCAAAGGGGTCATCACTTATTTTCTTACCATCCTGTACTTTCGAGGCCTTGAAAATGTAACGACCCGACCGGTCGTTTTGAGTACTAGCGCTCCGTTCAGCAGTCGAAGGCCATGAACAGCTTCATTTCAGGTATTATGACTTGTACGCGTGGTCGGAATTGAATTTCGGGAAGTCTAGAGTTGATTTGGGAAGAGAATTCTTATTTCGGAAGCTTAAAGTTCGGAGAATGAACTAAGATTGGAATTTTGAGTAAACGACCTCGGAATCAGGATCTGAAGGTTCCAGCATGTTTGTATGATGATTTCGGACTTGGGCGTATGCCCGGTTCGGGTTTTGGATAACCCGGGAGCGTTTTGGCGCCTATTGTGGAAGTTAGCATTTTAGAAGGAATTTCATAAGTTTGGTTTGAAGTGCATTTCAGAGTTATCGATGTCCGTTTGGAATTCCGAGACTGGGAGTAGTTTCGTATGGTGATTCTGGAGTTGGGGGCGCGATCGGAAGTGAATTCGGAGGTCCGTAGGTCATTTTGAAGCCATTTGGCTAAAGATAGAAATTTGAAGGTTTTTGGGAAGTTTGACCGAAGGTTGACTTTTTGATATCGGGGTCGGAATCCAATTCCGAAAGTTGTAGTAGGTCCATAATGTCAAATATGACTTGTGTGCAAAATTTGAAGTTAATCGGACGTGATTTGATAGGTTTAAACATCGGAAATAGAAGTTGGAAAGTTCAAAGTTCATAAAGCTTGAATCGGAGTGTAATTCATGGTTTTAGCGTTGTTTGTTATGATTTGAGGCCTCGAGCAAGTCCGTAATGTGTTTTGGGACTGGTTGGTATGATGGGGTCCCGGGGGCCTCGGGTGGATTCCGGGTGGTTAACGGATTGAAAGTGGAATTTGGGAAGGCTTGAGTTTTGCTGCTTCTGTCATAACTGCATCTGCGGTTCTTGGACCGCAGAAGCGGGACCGCAGATGCGGTCAAAAGCTCGCAGAAGCGGAAGGGGCCAGGTCCAAGGAAAATCGTAGAAGCGGTTCCGCTTAAGCGGCCCCCAGACCGCAGAAGCGGCCAGTTCCCTCATGCCCAAAACCGTAGAAGCGGTTAAATAGTCGCAGAAGCGACATCCGCAGAAGCGGAAATTGCACCGCAGAAGCGGAACACCTGGAGGCAGTAAGGTTGTTTTAAATCGTGAATGGAGTCATTTCTCTCATTTGGTTCATGGCTTGGGGCGATTTGGGGAGCTCCAAAGAGTGGAACTTCGTCATCTATATAAAGGTAAGTTATCCCCATCACTTTTGAGTTAAATACATTAATTATGTATGGATTTAAGCATGAAAATTAGTGTAAAGATGGAGGTTTTTTGGTGGAAACCTAGAAAATGATATTCTTGGAATTTAGCCACGATTTTGAGTATGGAATTAGGATAAAAATATATATTTGAGTTCCTGAGGTCATGGGTAACCTTTGTCTTCGAGAAATTTTGGATTTCGGGCACCTAGGCCCGAGGGCATTTTGGTCATTTCACTAAGCGGAGTTGGGAATCTGTATAATTTGAATTTCTAGTATTTGAGCATGTTCTCATTAGTTTGTCGTTAATTGGCTAGTTTTGGTGCATTGTGCGTCGGTTCAAGCCTTCGGAAGAATGTTGAATGCCGGTTATGAGTCTTCGGAGCGAGGTGAGTCTCCTTTCCAATCTTGTGAGGGGGAATTTACCCTATAGGTGAAGTAATTGATTATGTGCTCCTATTTGTGGGGGCTACATATGCACGAGGTGACGAGAGTCCGTGCGTAGCTACTATTATGTTATTATCCCGGTAGTAGGACCCAAAAACATGTTGCACGTGGATTAATTGTGAACCCATTGGTAGCTCGAATTGTTTATCTCACATTGAATTGGTAAGTAAATTTCTAAAAGGATTAAACTTCATTTCTTAAATTGTTAAAGGAGAATTGGTTTTGTTTGAATAAATATTCCCCGATAAGATCTTATTTGACTGATTGAGCATGTATTTTATGTGTGCCTGCATCGCATGGATGACTCGCGAGCAGGGTATGTGTTTATTTATGGAACGGGCCGAACGCCTCGGTGAGAGTAGATGCATCTATGGTTCGTGCCGCTCGACCCTCGGCAGTGCACAATTTACATTTCTGTTGAAGCGGGCCGTCGACCTCGGCATGATTTGCGCGTGTTTATCTGTTACTTGAAGATTGCAAATGTGGAATTAGCCCTACGTGGCTTGATATAAACTGATA